AAAGAAACTTCTCCTTCTCCGGTGCTCGGGCACTGGGGGGCGAACCGCCTTCCCCTGCGGCCTCCGGAGGTTTCTGCGCCCTGCGGTGGTGGTGCCCGGGCCGTAGAAGCTTATCTGCCCGTCTCAAGCTCAGGTCCCTCTGGCTGTCATTAAGTAGGCAAGTGGGGAGCTGAGGAGTGCTCATGGCCATGACTCTGAACGGCTGCTGCGTCAGCCGAGGAGGTGAAAGGTCGTCACCGTGTACACAGGGATTTCTGTTCGTAGCGAGAAAATAAAACTAAAATCTGGTAGGAACAGGGCTGCGTGGGTTATATTTCTATTCATAGGCCATGCTATGAACTTGACGCTTCTTTCCTGCTCACCTTAACTTGTTAGCTGCTGTGATGCTTGACCAGACTTAGGGAGAGCTTTTCATTACATTTATCTTAATACAAAGAAGCTTTGCAAGTTGCCTGAAATTTGATAGAAATGAGTGCAGCACGTTACTGTTTTTAATGAGGTGCAAAATCTGGTTTTGAACTTCAGATGTTCCCCCTTCTCTTTTGAAATGTTTCAGTTATGAGGGTCGAAAAGCATCCCATTTTACAGGAAGAGAGAAAGACTTGCAAGATCCAGATATCTGCTCCAGGTGACAGTCTTGAGAAGCTGCAGAAAACCACCACCGCCCTGTTGTGTTAAATTTAGTTACAATGCTTCTTGCCCCATAGGTTTGCAGGCAAGGCAATACACGGACCTGAGTTTGGGTGCTGAAGTGCATTCAGAAGTATTTGAACTCCTCCTGTCCCTGAGCAGAGTCAAAACATGAATACAGATTTCAAAGAGGGATGTCTGGCGCAAAATGCTGTTTGTAAATAGAGGCTCGCTGGTTCAGTGAGGAGGATTCCGATCCCAAATTAAGAGGTGCAGGTGCTTAAACAGCAAAGCTCCATGGGACCATTTGTAGGAGTGATCAGGCTTGTTGACAGCTGTTATAAAGACCACTGAAAGAGCAGCTGAATGCAGACTTCTGGCTTCTGATGTTAGCTGCTTGAATGCCAAGGCAAATAATAGCTTGGTTGTTCCATTAAGAAAACCTTTGCTGCATAGATTGATATAAGCTTGATTGAACAGCAAATCACTTGTTAGTAATTTTTTTTTTGCATTATTTTAAGTGCATTTGAGATGTACTTTAGCATCAGTTGCTCGATTCTGTTGTCCTGCAGCTCTGATTTCAGAAGGTGTCAGGAGACCTCTTAGGCCACCTCTTTTAGCCAGCTGCTTCCCCTGCAAATGGTTAAGGTTAATAAAGTTGTATAGGATGCAGCTGTCTTTTTCAGATTCTAGCTGGAACAGGGTGTTCATATTTTATTTGCTTTGATAAAATGGTCATGTTTACGTACGAAGTCAATGATGGGGAATAGGCCTGTAATTTCTGCGTGCCACCTTTCTGACCATGAACATGTTTTAAACATGTTCCAATAATGATACTGATGTTACAAGCATCAGTAAGAATGCCTGTTGGAATAATAGTCTTGTTACTGATTTGGATGTATTGTTCTTTTGGCAAAGTGATGCAAATATAGGTCAGGTGGTAGAAAGTTTGAAGTACCCTAATTAAAGTGTCTGTACCAGCTGTATTAGACTTTTTGATTAAAAGCTGAAACAGGTATCTTTTTCACATATCCAGATATTACTGTTTAAAGTATTTTTCCGGTAATGCCTACTGTTAATCGTCAAGTTGAATGTTTCCTGCCTTCTTAGTTTCATAGGATGTCTTAGCCTTAATACTTCCTCAACTTTTGCTCAGCTTTCACTCGTTTCTTCCCTTTGGGCATTCTTATGTTAGTTTGACCTTTCTGTATGCTTCTTTGAAGAATTCTTCAATCCTGAGGGATGCTTCCTCATGTATCAGTTTCTACAGGCTGCTGTTTCACTGTGTCAGTCTGCGCAGGGAGCCAGGCTTCTTTCAAAGGTGGCTGCCCATCCTCCTACTACTCCCCCTGCCCTCCCTCCCCACCCTGCACTTTCCGTCTGGCAGAGAGAAGTATGTATCTGAAATTATTCAAAAGTATTACCTGTGTAGTAAACTGATATATTTTTTTCATTTGTACTTATGTTAAGAACTCTATATTTCTTTCTCAAATACTTTGCTTTGAACTTCATGTGTCTGTCTATTCTGTGATATTTTCGTTTGGACATTGCTAAAGACTTGCTTCTATTCGGAACTACTTATAGTATCTCCTTGGATCATGCAAGGTATTACTGTAAAACACTAGTAAGGGGGAAAGCTGTTATCTAGTTTATGGTCTTGTAAAGTAGATCTGGGTTCCCAAACTGCAGACAAATCTACACAATAGAATGGAAATCTGTTGAATTACGCTTCTGGTTGGAAGTGGTGCGACTCATAATGGAGTTGGCTTTGCTATAGCAAATTTCAGCAGTGGTGTATCCTTTTAATGTGCTCCCAGTCCTCTTTGTCCTCCTGTTTTTTGTAATGACAACAGTATTCGCTGTTGATCAGCCTCTTGAGGACATCGTTGGCACAGGTGTTCAGGGGCATTTGGTACTCTCTGAAAGGGCCTGAAAGTTGCTTCTGTCTCTTAAACTGTTGGCTACTTGTCTGGAGAATTTTGCTTAATGAAAGTGTCCATGAGGGAGAAGAAACAAAGGCAGGCACTACCATGAGGACATGTTCTAAGGCTTTTTTATTTTACTAAGAGATCTCAAACCTAAAATAGGAAGTGGATATAGTGAAGACTGGAGGAGAAAAGGTCTTGGGGAAATTCTGTTAAACCGTGTCAGACACAGTTCAGTTGGTAGGTCCCATGGACACGTGAACAAGGAATACTTTCAAATGTAGCCTCCGGTATCTCTTACTCCCCTGCTTTGTCTTTTGGGAGTCATCCCTCTCTACTGCTTTAAAGATAACTATTGCAAGAGGCTGGCTATTGCGATGTCTGTTTACTATATCTTCTGCTTCACTTGCTTGTTCATAGACAAATGTTATCTCTGTAGCAGCATATCTGAAGAGCTCGGGTAACTATCTTAGTGTTCATCTGAGATAGGAACATGTCTGTAAACCATTTCCAGTGATGCAGGATTGAAGCACAGAGGAAAGCAGCTCTTGCAAGGCGTCTGGCAAAGCAAGGAGCAAAAGGCATTATATCATGAGTTTTGGCATCACAGCAGCAGAAACTTAAATGCTAATTAGAACTCTAGTTTCTTTAACTTGAAATGTCTTGAAACTTTCTTCTTCATAATGCTTGTATTTAGTACAACAACTTCTTTCAATTTGGTTTTTGTACCAGATTATCTCAGAAAGTTAAAATTGTGTGACCAAGATCACCGGTGTCGGATGTAATTATGATAATCCTTTTTATGCCATTTCCTAGATGTGATGGCACCACAGGAAAGCACCAAGCTGCTAGCCGTCAAGGCAACAGTTGAATTTCCTAAAATGTTGTCTTCTAGCTCTCTCCCAGTATCTGCAAACAAAGGTGGGAACATTTCTAGTACTAACATCGAGGAAGCTTCAAAACCTGCTGAAGACATGAGGATGTTCATGTCTAGGAAAACTGTGGTTGCATTTCCGCAGCGAGTAGTTGTTTCTTCCCTTGAGGAGGAAAATCTCACTACACCTGCAACAGAAGGAGGCTTGAAGAGAGAGTTAGTCGAGGAAGAAACTTCATCCAGCTCAGATTCAGATTCTAGCTCAGATTCTGAGGAAGAAATTGATGATGATGAGTCAGAAGTTGCCATTAAAACCAAAGTTGAGTTTCCTAGACGAGATTCCATATTTTCTGGTAACACAGCGATAAAGGCATCAATGCTCGCAAAAGAGAACTTGTCCCCAAAATCCCAGAAAGAGTATGTAGCCAAGAAGAAGCCATATAAACCAGAAACTGATGTGTCTCCCATCAAGCAAGTTGCATTTTCTAAAACGTCAGTCAGCCATAAAACATCAAAATCCAAAGCAAGAGACCCCAAAGTAGAATCAGCTCCAAAAGAAACAGATCGTCAGAAGCTGGTCTTAGAGCCGCATGTGGTTGAAAGCCAAGACCTGAGTGAAGTCACTCATAAATCTGATTATTTGGAGGAAAAGTCCATTGGAACCCAAGTAGCAGCTATTCAGCTGAAAGCTTCATCAGTGACTCAGGAAGACAAAAAGCAAAAACTGATAGCCAGAAGAGATGAAAAAAAGGTGAAGGAGGCACAGGAGTCAGAAGCAGAAGAAGTGACTGCTGCTAAAGTGGAAGAGGAGACTTCTGAAAGCACGATGTCGGTGACTGGCACTACAGCAAAGGAGGAGACCATTCAGGAAGCAGGAGTCCAGGCTGGAGAAGGAAGCACAATAGAGGGTACACGTTTAAATTGTTTGAACTGTATTGATTCATTGGGCTAGGGTTTAACTTCTTTTAAAGGGTTTCCATATCTTCTCTGTTCATGATTCTCTGCTCTTTACGCTGAAGCTAACCATGTAGCAATGACTTTCAGGAAGAGAAATTCTTGTTTGTTGCTGATTGCTATAAGCGCTCAGTAATACTCGGTTTCCAGTTATGCTATAAAAGGAAGCAGTCTTCATTTCACCGTATTTAGTTTCATAAACCAGTTACTTGTAAAATGAAAACAAGATTGTTTCCACTGTGAGCAAAATCATGGGTTTTATATGACAAAACTTGTTTTCCCTCTTCTCTGTTCTTGGAAGGATTTGGTGGCTGCCTTTCTCCTGAGCCAAATTTGATGCTATCTGATTTTTGCTTAAATCCTGCTGTCTGTCTTTTTGTTTAAATCTTGCAGTGTTTCAGATTTCAGTAGAATTCAAAAAATCATAGTGTAGTGCTGGAAGCAGATATTGAATCTGAGATTGGTAGGTTGCAAGCGAGTTGTGTTGAAGTAGCACATATATATATATAGTTCAACTTATAACCCAGTTTTTGTAGTGAACTGGGGAGGAGACACTGATATGTTTTAGGAAAGAGCATTGTGCATCATATAATCATCTCCCTAGCTATACTTTCCTGTCTGACTTACCCTTCTTATTTACTACCAGTCCGGTTAACTTACCTACTCTTCTCATTCTGTGTATTTCAATAGCAAATGCCCCTCTGTCCTGATCTGTGGCGGCTTACCATTCTTGCCTTTCAACTGAGGGAGCATGCCATTCTTACGACCCTCCTTCTGGTTGCTGCTTTCAGTTAAAAGAATTTGCCGACTTGGAAGTAAAAGCAGCATACTTGTAAAGCTGCGTGGATATTGTCCTCCAAGTGATATCCTTGCAGAAAAGGCCTTGGGGGTCCAGGTGGGCAGCAAGTTGAACATGAGTCAGCAACGTGCCTGTGCAGCAAAGACCACCCATGGTAAGCTGGGCTGCATTAGGAGGAGGGTTGCGAGCAGGCTAAGGGAGGTCATCCTTCCCTGGTGAGTGCTGTGTTCAGTTCTGGGCTCCCCAGTACAAGAGAGATATGGAGCAGTATACTGGAGGGAGTCCAGTGAAGGGCCACTAAGGTGATGAAGGGGTTGGAGTATCTCTCCTGGGAGGAAAGGCTGAAAGAGGTGGGGTTGTTCAGCCTGGAGAAGAGAAGGCTCCGGGGGCATCTCATCAGTATACGTAAATACCTGAAGGGAGGGTGCAAAGGAGACAGAGGGAACCCTCTTTTCCGTGGTACCCAGTGACAGGACAAGAGGCACTGCGTACAAACTGAAACACAGGGTTTTGCCTGAACATCAAGAAACTTTTTTTTTACTGTGAGAGTGATGGATCACTGGCATGGGTTGCCCAGAGGGGTGGTAGAGTCTCCATCCTTGGAGACATTCAGGAGCTGTCTGGACACAGTCCTGGGCAGCATGCTGTAGCTGACCCTGCTCGAGCATTTGGGGTTGGACCAGATGACCTCCGGAGGTGTCTTCCAACCTCAACCATTCTGTGATGCTGTGAAGTGTCTAACCAGCTTAAGTGACAAATAGTCACTTTTGTACCTTGGTTTCCAGAATACAGTACTGAGTAAAAGACCTGCCTTCTGTTAGGTCAGCTCATAATTTGATGTGTTTTAACAATTGGAAGCTAAGCTTACCTTCTTCTGACTGCAGCTCAAATGATAAAATGCAGCACTGTTTGCAATTGACATTTTCATTTACCTGTTTGTCCTTGCAGTCAGCTGCAGAAGCTTTCTTAAAAAAAAAAATGGGAAAGGCTGTTTGTATTTATCTACATACAGATGATGCTTTTCTCCCCATTCATCCACAATGGAGTTCTAGGTGCTCAGGCCTTTTTTTTTCCACATTGCAGCTGATACAAAGACCCAGAAAATGAGTTCAGTTAACTTCAAGTATTAGAGGGAGGACTTGGTCTTAAAATATGCTAATGATTCAAGGTGAAGACATGACACATCAAAGGTCTGTGAAACAGCCTCCCCTACTCTGATGCTGTACATTCAGACTAAGGTTATGCCCACATGACAAACTTTTCCTGCAGATCTATATCGATGGGGCAATAGGACCATCGTTGTCATAACCACACCAGCAAAACCCTTTTGAGTAGGGCCTGGCTTTGCTGAAAATGGTACTTTTCCTGTTGAGCTCCTGTTGCTCTGTGGAGTTGGAAAGGCTGTGACAGCAGGAGAGTTTCTGGTGGGTATGTGCTAGAGGACTGTTGCAGGACTGTAGGAGAGGTGGGGGTTAGTACAGGCAAGCTCACACCCCTTCACTGCTGGTGTAATGTCTTTGGGTGCCAGAGGGTAGCAGAGCTATAAATGTAGCTACACCATGTTCAACAGCGTCACTGTTACCTCCATGCGTAGCTTGTTCTCTCTTCCTTTGGAGGCCTTCTTTGAGAACAGCTAGTGCTTTTCTATTTTTAAAGTTCATGGTTAATGGTACCTTGTGTAATCTTTACTTCTGTTCCTGTGTTCTTTTGTTCATCTGCAAACTCTGCAGCAGGCACACTGAAGATGTAAAAGCAATTTTTCCCCATTACAAACCTGCATGTTAAGGTGATGTCATCCACTTTGTAGAGCAGGCGTGCTAAGCAGTCAGCAAAACCTGCTGACTTCCGCTGCTAAGTAGCAAAATAGTAGCATGGTAGCTCAGAAATATACCTCTGATTTATTTCGGAAGAACATCCTGTGAAATGCTGGCTCTTTAAGAGAGAAAGCATAGATGAAGTCTGGAGTATGGGGAGGATGAACTCAGGGATAGATTTTTCCTTTGAGAAGCCAAGTACAGTGTATTTGGGCACGAAAAATGAGACTCCATCTGCTTTTCTTCCTAAGCATCTGTCTCTTAATTTGGAACAACTGTCTTGCAGGTTGAATGTACACTTGCCTACGCTTGCCTGTTCTTGGGGCTTTTTGCAGCACAGACCGCATCATCTGGGTTTTATATCTGTAGTGTTGTCTCCTGTGAGCTGTCTCGGTAGGAACTGAGCAGTAGGCAGAGGGATATTTCATTTCATAGGTTGTGTGTGTTCAACTGAAACCATGGCTGAGCACACGACGGTTTATAAGCAAGTCTTGCTAAATGTTATGGATACATGCTCTTAAATTGATAGCGTTACACTGCAATAATGATGTCATAATTAAAGGGAAATTCTGGTGTTCAGTTGCTTGAGTTCTTGTATTTTTGTTGTAGATGGTTGTATTGCAAAAAGCAGCTTAATACGATCTAGCCTAAACCACTACATACAAATTTATATGATGAAGCTTTTCACTCGATTATGCTTATGTATTTCCTATTGTTAAAATTCTGGGTATATGAGAATAGATCGATATTGGGAGTAAAGTTTTATTTCTTGCAGTTTCCTTGGTTGTAAAATCAGCCTGTAACAGGAACCTTTTATGTAAGCAGTACTGCCTAAATTTGCATAATATTCTGTGTAAGAATTAATGTTGGCTTTAACGTGAAGCAACTTTATTAGGTTATTCTTTTAGAAAGAAGAGCCGATACAAAGTTTAGAAGGTTATATTTAGAAGAAAGGAAATTTACATCAAAGGCTCTTGATGTATTACTGTTCAGTGTAACTACATTTGAAATTAAACTGTGGAAATCTCAATAATTCCATCACTTCTTCCCATGGAAAAAAATCAATCTGTAAAGTAGTTCTAATAGCTGTATCTCATGGTCTGACATGATGATTTATCATTTGTACTGCTTCTTTGCCTCTCCTGGCTTGCTAAGAATGTCACCTACTGTTCTGGCTGAAGTGAAAACCAAGGCAACTGTGAAAAAGCCAGGAAATGCAGACATACGTCTTCAAAATATGAATGAAGTGTTCTGCCCTATCCACCCCCAGCATTAGGTGGTAGTTTGGATTTTATATCCTGTGCTCTGTTAGATGACATGTACTGATCCCTGTTCCCCTACTGCATACTAATGTGCTGGTTTAGGACCAGACAGGGTACCAGCAGAACTTAGTAAACTTATCCTTTTGTTATAGTTGGTGACATTTTTTTTTTTTTTTTTTTTTTTTTTTTTTTTTAATGTTGACTGGATGAGGGATCCAACAGTATATGAAGGCAGGCTCAGTAATTAAGAATATTGCCCTCTGGTGTGCCATCCTTATAGTCACCAGTTATGTTTGTTTTCACAGAGACCACAGCAGCTGCTGAGCCTGCACCAGAAGAATTCGATAATTCTACCTACAAGAACCTTCAGCATCATGAATATAACATATATACATTTGTTGATTCTGTTGTGGTTCTCTCAAAATTCAGGCAACCTCAGCCATCTTCTGGAAGACCATCACCAAGGCACTGAAAGAACCACATTTAAAATAGATGCCCAGGCAGAAGGATAAATTGTTCTATTTAGCACTGCTGCTTTGTCTGTATTATAAATCAGATAATAAATAATAAATAAATGAATGCATAATAACTTATGCTTGTGCTTTTGAATAGTTCTTCTTTGTTCTTGGAGTCCTTCACTTCTTGACTTTTATGAATGAGCTGCAAATGAATCATCGTTGAATAAAAATAGCTTTAATACCTCTCTGTATATATTATTTGGTGATAGTGTAAAAAAAAGTCCTGACTTTTCAGTGTCTCGAAACCTGTGATATTGACCATTCTTTCTGTACTGCTGTCAGAGAACATAAAGACCCTTGTGCATATGGCTGTTCAGTATGTGCCATGATTTTAGTAGGTGTTGTTATCACTGTATGCAGTGAGCTGTTCTTGCACACAAACATGTTCCCAGCTCTGAAGAGGTTACGTTTACTCTGGATTTGAAGTTAAAATCATTGGCTGGAAACAGCATAAGAAGTATTTGTCTCCTGTGGCAAGAGTGTATGTTTTGTGTTAGTAGAGGAATGCAAGTTTATGTAATGTGATTGAAACATCTCAAAACCTCTGCTGTTGTAAAGGGAGTACATACAACTTTATTTAATCTTCTGTTGGGGGCTCCAGCATCCAGGTTCTGCAGTAATTGAAATAATTGAAAATGTAAGAGAGTCTCAGTAGGCAATTCCTAATGAGCTATACTACATTGATTAATCTCTGAGAAATAATGTACTTCTGTGGGTAGAATCACTTGAATGTTATTTTTAAATGTGATAAAAATAGCATTGTGGCAAAATCAGCTCCTGGTACCAGTTGTTCAGTGGGACTATGTTTCAGTTCCCACTTTTTTTTTTCCCCACACACAATAAAAGTTAAGATTGCTGCCCAGCTTCACTCTCGCTCTGCAGAACATGTCAGAAATGAGGCACGTCTCAATATATGTTATCAGCAGTTACAGTTGGTCTCAGTAAATGTTGTATTTCCATCCTATTAGTAACAGTCTTCTGCCCTCTGGGAAAACTGCCTTGATGACCACCAGCTGTTGTGGGTTTAGTTCCATTTTGGCTTCTTGTTCATTTTGGGCTTTTTTCAGTGTTAATTGGTCTTTGAGCAGTTGCAATAGCTCCAGCATTTTCCATCACCTGTCTGTATTCTTTCAAGCAACAGAATACGCAAGATCAAAGAGCAAATGGAGTCAGCTTTAGTAGTCTATCTGGATATTGGATGCAAATCCCTGGGTGCAATTAGCAGAACAGCTATTTTATACTCCAACTTGGCAAAAATGTGGTAAGAAGGATCAAGAGGCCTACATCAGTCTGCTGTGTAGAATTTTAAGTCAGAAACCTCTGGCAAGCAATTTTATTGTCCTGTAAAAACTAAAAAGCATATTACTGACTCTAATTATGAAATTTAAAAATCGGCAAATGTATAAATCCACGTGCTTAGGAATAAAGAGCAGAAAGTCACTCTGAGACACCAGTGGTACCATGTACACTGTACTTGTAAAAGGGAAAGAAATTTGCTGTTAACATGAAAAACATGAAAGAATAAGGAGAAGGGTCTTCCTTTATTAAGGGCCCACTGGAGGGCCGCAGTAAAGCTGCTGTGTTTTGTTATTAACTAACTACGTGTAGTAACCTGAATCCTGTAGCTTAGATCTGTGTTGGTGCTGAACTGTGTTCCGATTTGTTTTGTGCTTGCAGAAGGAGGCTGCAAACTGTCAGCATCTAAACAGCAGAAGTTAAATGTAGTCTGTTAATATGCTTATGTGTTACTAAATCTACCCACAGTAGCTGTGGCTGTGAGCTGTTTGGAGTCAGACTTGTTCACCTAGTCCTCTTTTCATTTCTAACGAGGGTTGGTGTTATAAACACTGACTTAATCCGCTAAGGAGGAGTGGGTTGAAACAGAACTGTGTCTTGCTTTCAGTCAACTCCTACGCTCTCCTGAGTTGCATTTCAAGCTAAGGAGATACGACTAACCTGTATTTGGGCTTGGCATTTTGCTACCCTAGTTTCATGATTACAACAAAAATTAATGGTGAATGCCATTCCTATCTGGGTAATCCTGTTTTAGTGTCTTCCAGGGATCTTTTCTGCACCTTTAAAATCAAGCTGAAAGCCAAGTAACTTCATAACTCTTCTGGTACATGTGGTGTGTGTCTTGTATTTGTTCTGTTTAGTGAACCAGCCTGCTCCGGGAAGGGCAGATAATGTGAGGAAAGGCACCAAGACTTTTTCCCACTGTTGTGTTTTCCTGGACTTCAATGAAAAAGGCTTCATTTTTTTTTGTACTTGGCTATTATCAGATGTTACTGTGTTTGAGTCATAGGCTAGCATTTGAATTTCAAGCAGGATGTGATACAATATGCTCAAATTCTGTAACTGTGAGTAACTTTGTCTTGCTGTGCTAGGCACTTGTCAGATAGAGTCAGGGACCTTGTTTTAAAGAATGTATAATCCAGGATATTAACATAATTCCTGGAAAATCTCAGATGTGAAAGAAATCAAGTCTCAGCTTAGTTTTGGTGAAAACAAGCTCTTCAGAACCAGCATAAACTTCAGAAGTGGGGTTTTTAGTGTTAGTAGCATGTTACCGTGGGAGTACATAAAAATCTGGAGTGGAATTCACTAACTTCTCATTAAAAAGATGAAACAACAACTTTCCTTGTCAAAGGGGGTAGTTTTCAAATATAAGTCCTTTCGTTTTTTTGTTTTTGGTTTTTTTTTTTTTTTTAGTATAGCAAACATAAATTTCCTGCTAATAAAATTGCTTTTCATAATTTCTTTCCACTTACCTACTGCAGAATGAACTTATGAACCCAGAAGGTTGTGGAAAGCTGTCAAAGACACACTCATTTGAGGTCCAGTAATAGTAATGCAAGCAGAGTTTGAGGTTATCACTGTAGTTACTACAAGGTCAAGATTTTTTTGGTCCTCACAGTGCTTCCTTTGGCATCCAGTCGTGGTAAGCACTGCAATCTATAAGGCTATCTTCAAGATTTATTTTGAATTTGAGAAACAAGACTTTCAACTGGGTGCACTTACAGATCTTCCACAGTGTAACCCCAATTTTCAATAATCAAAATGCATTCAGGGCATCTCCCTCTGGTTTCCTGTAAACTCATAAGCTATGAAAAAATATGCCCTTAGTCTTTTCTCCCACCACCAGAGATGCCATCATCTAAGCTACTTGTATAGTTATGTTGAGTCTGCTCTTTAACATGATAAAAAAAATTATGAGAACTTTTAAGGCCATCTCAGGGTGATGAGCAATTCTTCCTTCGCTTACTCATGGTGATGAGAACGTGAGCTAAGAACAGTCACCAGACTGTCCAAGTCTGCTGGAGATCTGTAGAAGAACAAGACTTCTAAGCTTTATGCCAATCAGTGTCCCAAAGACTGTAAGGTGCTTTGGTGAGATTTTGAGATCTTGTGGGATTTGGGAGGAAGAGTAGGAGAAGCCGGTGAGAGCAGTCACTTGTGTGTTCCAAACAGTTTTAATTCCAATCGACGACTATTGTGCAGTGAGTGAATGAGTAGAGAGCATGCTCACATTATCCTGGAACATCGTAACCTTAGAATCATGGAAACTGAGGTTGGAAGTCTTGAGCTGATCAGTCCTCTGCTCTGGAGCAGGTGCAATTAGATCAGGCTGTCCTGGACCTTGTCCAGTGGAATTTTGAATATCTTCAAGGATGGAGATCCTGCAGTGTCTCTGGTCACCTTCTCCAGCATTTTAACACCCTTGTGACTTAACAAACAATAAAACAGCAAGCAAAACCTTTACCTGGTATCTAATTGGAGTTTTTGGTTTTCTGACACTCACTACACACCTCAGACAAACTTGGCTTTGTCTTTGCTATACCCTTGTAGGCGGTAGCTGAAGGTAGTAATAAGGTCCCCCTTACTCTCTGCTTCAGACCAGATAACCTAGGTTCTTTCAGGTTCATCTTGTGCAACATACTCCAAGTCTTATTTGCATCTTTGTGTGGTCACTGTGCACCCTCGGCGCAATCCTACTCTGGTCTGTAGCATCCTGGGTCACTTAAGTGGTCCCTGACTGTCTTCCTCCTCGTAGCTTGTGCTCCAAGGTGTAACACGCTGGAAGGGGGCTTGTGTTAAACTTGCTGATTGGGAGGGAACTTGGGAGATGCCCGTTCCTCAAGATGCTACGCAGCAACAGTAGTGTGGGGCAGGCTCAGGTCCCCACTTCGTCCTGCTGTAAAACCGAAAAAGTCTTGGAATCATTCTTGGCCCCAGTATTTGCAATCTGCCTGTGATTTATAACCCTCCCGTGCTTTTCTGTATCGTATGCTGTTGTTTGCCTGCAGAGTTAGACAAAAGGAGCTAACACAATGAGGGTAATACAGACACTTCAGTACAGGTGCTTTGAACGTTTGAGTGATTGACTTTACAGCTGTGGTGTTCTTGTAATGTGGCTTTGTTTATTTGTTTTAATTTTGTCCTTTGAAAGAAACTCTGGATGATTTTAGTTAAAGTCTTAGGACTCTAAACAAAATATCCTGTCAAGTTTCCAGATCATCCTTCTCTCATGTGGTTCTGTTTCATGGAATTATAAATATTTATCTTTTCTATGATTCCACGCTTTTGGTGCTTACATATTATCCTTAGTGTTCATCCCAGGATGATACCACTCCCAATACAATATGCATGTAGTTTTTAGCTCCCATATTTTTTTTTGCCTACACACATTACGTTTGGAAATTCATACCCACCTCTGAAGGTCTTAGGATACGTGACAGCTTTGGGATAGAAAAGACTATGTTAATGCATAATTAACTCTCTCAACCAACTTTTAACAGCAAAATAGATTAACAGGGACATGGTTCTGTGGATCTGTAGCCTCACAGAATACAGCCTACACACACGTTAACTTCTAACACTCACACAGCCCATGCCATATATCTTAGTTAATGCCTAAAATTCTTAGCAGCAGCAGCAGCAGTCTTTGTTTCTC